TGACTTTTAACTATAAAAAGTCAAATGTGGAAGAAGCAGACAAATACCTAGAAGAGATAAAAATAGTACAAGCAAATGCTAAGGAAGTAATAGAGAAATCACAGGAACAAATGAAAAAGTATACTGACAAACACAGAGGAAATCTTCCAGAATTAAAGGAAGGAGATTTTGTTTTACTAGATAGTAAAAACTTAAATCTAGTAGTACCAACTAGAAAGTTGGCAAACAGGTACATAGAACCATTTGAAATAGAGAAACAAATAGGGGTAGTAAATTACAAATTAAAACTACTAGAAGGGATGAATATTCATCCAGTTTTCTACTCAGGATTGTTAATACCTTATAAAGAAAAGGAATACCCAGGAAGACAAGTGCATACTAATCCAGACCCAGAGTTAATCAACAAGGAATGGGAATACACAGTAGAAAACATTTTAGATAGTAGGAAAAGGAGGAACAAATATCAATATTTGATCAAATGGTTAGACTATCCAGACATAGATAATACTTGGGAACCATTTGGAAAAGGATTAACTAATTCAGTAAAGTTAATCAGGGAATTTCATATAAATCATCTAACAGTAGTAAAGCCACCACATCTGGAAAACTGGTTGACAAAGAGACTAGAGTATAGTTTACTAATAAGTAAAAGAATACTAGTTAAGGAACAAGACACAGGAGACATAGTCCTACAAGAAGAACAAATGTGGAAAGACTGGATGAAAAGGAAATCAGAGTCTTCAGAATACTTTAGTATTCTAGCTTCAGATTCAAGCACAAAAGAAATTAGAGAAGGGTTGGAAAAACTTCAGCTGAACAACAAACCTACTATAGAAAACTAACCTCTAACAATAAAAAGGAGACAAACAAGTAATTATAAGAGATAGCAACCTCAGAAAAGGAGAAATAATACTTGGGACACAGAAGAATCTGAAGAAGACAATAGTACATACTATATAAAAACATTACAATTAGAAGAGGAACACACTAATTGTGAGGAAGAGTATAGTAAAATAAAGGAACATAATACTATACTAGGAGATTCTATTATACAACAACTTGAAAGACAACAAGAAATACAACCACAATTTACTCAAGAAGATATAAACAATATTATGGATTCAGATAGGATACCAAGAGCTCTTATTAAACAAATAAGACAGAAATACATAGTACAGTATGAAGAAGCAGAAGCAATCAACAAACCATAGGTCAGAAGAACATAGGGAATAATTATGAGTGGTTACTTTTTGAAAGCAAAAAGTGAGGAAGACAAAAACTTCTTGAGGGAAACTATTAAAAAGGGAGTCACTCTTATAGGAGGAGATAACAGACTCTAGATAGAATAAAAGGTATAATAGAAAAGGGTTCTGAATATAACATTAAACTATTCCTATAAGAATTCTAAAGTATAAGAATATTATAGTATGTGGGTCCTGAATATGACATTAAACTATTCCTATAAGAATTCTAAAGTATGAGAATATTATAGTATAAAGGTCCTGAATAAGACAGTAAACTGTTCCTATAATAAATCTAAGGAAAAAGAGATTGTTATAGTAAGGTAGCTCTTAATTGAGTGAGTTAAGTCCTGAATAAGACATTAAACTATTCCTACAATAAGGAAAATTGTAGTATAGTAGCTCTTAACTGAGTGAGTAATGTCCTAAACAAGATATTAAACTATTCTTATAACAAATCTGAAGTACTAAATTGTTATAACAACATGATTTGAGTAAATCAGAAAATTACTCCTAATACAAGGATAAAAAGGGTATTAGTATATTATATGTCTCCTCCACACTCATAAGGACATATAATAAGGTGCTCTATACACACCTTCTGAACAGAAGTAAAACTAAAGGGGGTAACTAAACTGGAAACCACAAACAAGAGGGAATGACTTTCCACCAGTTAAATTTAGTCTTTAGAGTGTACTATTTTAGTCAGAGAGTCTGAATACTGGTCAAACTAGAGCTAGCTAGTAAAGAACTAGGAGGCAGAGAACACATCAGTCTATATTGCAGACTGACACTGAAAGCAGAATTATAGTAACTAAGGTAAAGGTAGAAGCCCTTTTAACAAGTTAACTAATTACAACTGTTAAAAGGAAAACTATACTCACAAGTGTGGCTCTCACTTTTCAGCCATAAAAGTAGGCTATAAAAATTAGCCAAAATGAAAGGAAAAGGCATTTATATTCACTTTAATACAGAATACAAAAAGAGGCAGACTATAAACAGGAAAAGTATTTAAAGGAAAAGATACTAGTACAGGACACACAAAACAAAGGAAACAGAAAGGGGGGGAAGGACACAAATCCCACCCAAAATTAAATCCCAGC